CCTCCAGCGGTAACTGATGGCGATTCGGTCGATTTGGGTCCAGTGCAGTGAAGAGGTTGGCGGTTTCCGTGTAAGGCGATGGCGTTTTTTGTGCGAGAGTTGCTGCTCTACAGGAACTCCGTGGTCCGCGCAGAGTTGAAGTAGACGATCTCCGTTGTCCGTCCGGTTGGCTGGGATTGCTTATGGTTCGCCAAGAAGCCTTTCTGATTCGTCCAGGGATCCCGCTTGAGCATTAAAGTTTCCGAAAACCGCTACGACGTCCGTTGATAAAACACTGGATTAATTGATAAATGTCCTTGGGGAATTCATCCTTGATTTCAGGTATAGTGCAATCAGTCGGTGCATACGCCGATACGACGAATAAGCATCGACGCTTCATTCTGTAGCTGTTGACTGAGCCGTTGAGACGTACAGCGCATAATCGGCTACTGACTGGGATCCAGTCGAGAAGTGAGTGTTCCGCCTTGGTACGCAGGGCAATCCCGACACACGAGGAGTGAATTGTGAGGTTGAGGTTGGATCAGGAGAACGCAAGGCGATAATTAACGTAGGGTCATGTATGCGTGTTCCGGAGACACATCATGCATCTAAATGGAAATTTTCAGGCTCTCTATCCAACGCAGTTTGTTGACCAATCTGATAAAGTGTGCGCACATTGAATGCGATTAAGTGAAAAGGGAATTTTGGCTTCAAAATTCCTATAACTTCTGATTGTTTGGCCTTACTCCTAGAAGGCTGAGTAATATCGATGGGTCATGTAAACAGGAGGCGTTTGAGATTGGTTGGGGTTAAGACAGATGGCAAAGAGGGTGGTTTTCCAAATGGGTGCCTGAGATTTTAGGGTGCAACATATTTCATGGTCGCCCGCACCGAGGAAGAGGTCTTTTCTTTTGGAACACTAACGGGAGCCTCCGACTCAAAAGTTTGACTCACAAGGCAGTGGGACGTAAATCCAATGCGAGAGCGTGAACAAACCTCCCGTGTGGGAGCTTCTAGAGACCTTTCACTCAAGGCCTTCCTTCGGGTTTCGGTTAAGTGTTTTGTTCGATGGTGAGTTGGTTGACCTTCCGCTTTTTAGGATCGGCCCTTAGCCTTATGCAATCAATTATACAAGCGGAACGTGGATGGGACAACACCTTATTGGCTGGGGGCTGCCCAGCTTGTGCGGACGGTAGCTGTTTAATGACGTGCGAACACATCTCCCACCGTCGGGAGGAAGAGCCACGACCATCTAACGGATTTTTAAACTGGTAAACTGGAAATCACCGTGTTTATTTGCTAGCCTGACCTATTCAACGGCGGATGTGGATAGACGATGGAATTCAGGAGGTGCCTAAGCAGCTGACTTTGTGAGACTGAGCTTCGTCTGGCCTCCAGCCATCGACGAAGTGGCTACAGCGAACAACGTGCGGTGCGGTAGACGACAGCTGGGCGCACGCAATACGGGCCC